CTTAATCGATTTTTGCCCAAATGGACTATCGAAAAGACTACTTGGTGCCTAGAAGTGTCTAAGAATGTCTCTAGGTGTGAGAATGTGTTGGAGAGTGTGAAAGTGTGTGAAAATGTAAGAAATAACGTCTTATTTATAGGCACGCTCACCCAGGAGGTTGGCACAGTCGTCCCAAACTTTGTTAGTTGGGACGGTCGTCTGGGATTTTAGGACGGTCGTCTGGGATTTTGGGACAGCCGTCTCGCCTAGTAAAATGCCTTGGGATGGCCGTCTAGGATTTGGGACAGCCATCCCAGACTAAAAAATAATCTAGGACGGTCGTCTGGAATCCGGGACCGCCATCTCGAGCTAATCGAACAAGTGGGACGACCATCCGAGATCCGGGACGGCCGTCTCGAGCTTCTGACAAAATTCCTAATTTTTATTTTCTAAGAAAACCCTCCGTTTTATACATGGAACCTAGAAAACACTACTAGGGGCCTAACGAAGCCTTGTCCATCTTCAAAACGGAAGATTTTTTAGCTTTATTGTGAGATTGGACAAGATTTGGGGTCTACAATCGTTCTTGATGACTCCACGGACAAAGATAGATGTTCATACCGGAACAATGACTCTAGAGTTTGGAGACGATGTGGTCTAATTTAACATTTTTGAAGCAAGCAAATATCCATCCAAAGATCACTCTAAGCTGCAACACCACTCTGTTCTCTGGATAGATGTAAAAAACAATTCTTGTATAGATGTAGGAGTAGCATTAGATGGTAACGCGAAATTGAAGATCCTGTTGCGTAAGTGATACGGAAATTAACTCTAGTTAACTCACATTTGAACCTATAAATAAGGCATTTTTGTGCCATTGCAACACACTGAATTCTATTCTTCATTTGATGTGAAGCTAGTTCAAGTTCTCTCAATTCTGGTCTTTCTCTTACTCTCTCTTTAGTTTTCAGTTTAGTTTTCTTTTTGTCTCTTTAGTTTTCACTTTTTCTGCTTTGTTTAGTGTTCTTATTTCTTTTCTTTAGTTGTGCTTTTAATTCAATTCTGTTTTACATTTGTTCTACACGAATTTCTACTTCAATTCAACACATAATCATAATTTGTTCATAGTGTTGTTTCCAACTTTATTCTTCTTCATTATTTTCGGTTTTTACATTGTTTTGTCAGTGATTTGAGTGTGCTTCTTGTTGTTTTTCAAGCCTTATTCGGTTCCTTATTCATTAAGGAGAAGAATCACGACTCATTAGTCAATTTCACCAAGTTTTCATGTGTTGTTTCGTTGTTCTTATTGTTTTGATGTTGTTTTACCATTTTAATTTTGTTTTTGTTGTTTCGGTTTAATTTCTCCAATTTGATTGGTTAGAATGTTGTTCTTAGATATTGTTTCAAGTTCTTTTACTTTGTTTTAGAATTCAATTGGTTAAAATTTATTTTAAGAGTATTTTCTGTTCAGTTTGTTCATAGCAATTTAGGAGTAAGTAGATTTCAATTTAGGAATAGTTTTTACATTTGATTGAATTTTTGTATTTGATTTTGTAGAACTTGTTCTTGATAATCCCTTGCTATTTTTGCACAATTTAGACGTGCTAAACATTAGTTAATAGGTTTTAAGTTTTTCAAGCAATTATAAGTTTGTTTCCAATTAATCTTTGCAGGGGAAGAATTGCACAGATGGGTTAATTACATTTAGATTGCATAACACTAATTACACTCTCACTTTAGCTGAATTTAATGCAATTTTTGCATTTCCCAATGGAGGTGAGAGAAATTATCCCCTTGAGTTTAATGCACATTCATTTTGGTACCAATTATATGAATCTTATGCTTTTGTTTCATCTTAATCCAAATAATCACACATTCATCACCCTTTTTTTGGTATGCTCATTGCCTCATGGCTCATACTATATTTGTTCGGGGTGATAGCACTACTACTGTTAGAAAATCCTAATTACTGGTATTGTGGGGTATGGTTAATATGTTCAATTAGATTTAGGTTCATGGTTGGCTCAACAATTTATTAAGGTGGGGAGAGCTTCATAAGACAAATAGTCATTAATGGGTTGATTACTACGATTGCCTTACATTTCAACATTCCCTTTGAAGGTGACAAGCCAATAACGGGGAACTCTATTTTGTTTGCATTTATCACTCTATTTTAAAGGAATTTTCTTTGCTTGAAGATAGGCAAAAGTCTAAGTTTTGGAGATTTTGATGTGTAAATAAAATGTTTATGCATTCATACCTTATTTTAGGTTATTTTTATACACTTTCTGGGAAAATAAAACTTCCATCAAAGAGAAGCAAATGAAAGGTTTTCATAAAAATTCATGTAGAATCGAGAATGAAGTTTTCATTTTGTACATGTCAAATCATGAATTAGTAACTTAGTAACTACATCCAATCTCCAAAAAATCCCAATTGTTTCGAATTTTTTTTATCTTTTTGGAATGGAATAGTTACAGAATCCCCATGAATAGGACCAAACCTTCTTTTGTGGTATCAAGTGTTATCTATGTTTATCATACATTTGAGCTTTTGTCTCTTTCGTGTAAACAAGTGTTTTCAAGTATTGAAATCACAGTTTGGAGAGAGTTAATGTCAAGACTGAAGGAAGCAAACCAAAGAGTTCCACAAGTGAGTTATAGATTTCTCCACAATCTATGGATTTACTCCAGGAGTGTTGAATTTAAACCAGAAAGTCCTACAAGTAAGTTGTGGATTTTTCCATGAGCAGTTATTGATAGTTAATATTACGTTGACTATGGTTATCAAATAGGCATAACCACCCACTTAAGAGGAGCAACCACCCACTAAAGAGGGAAACCCACCAAAAAGTGAAGAGGAAGATTTGAAAGGAGAGACAAACAGATTGGAGACGCATGGATCAGTTTCTTCTTTTTCTAGTTTTTTTTTTTCACTTTTATATTATGCAAAACTAAATTTTCTTTTTGGTTAAAGGATTGATGTAATACTTTGAATCATAGTTTCTGAACCTTAATAATCAATGACTAATTAATTTTAATTATCTCATTTTTCTATTTATGGTTCGAATATTCATTCTATGAACAATTTTATAATTGAGGATTGTTTGCTATTATAAATAAAAAATATTAGGTTTTATCTAAATTGAGGAATTGGACATAGTTGAGACAATTATTGTTATATTGATTGAATTTTTGTTACTTTTTCTATGTGCATCATTTTATCCCTTTACCCAAAAATTTGGTAAATTAGTAATATAGTTTTCAACTAATTCAATCCCCTATATTTTATTACTACATTATACGTGCAACATTTTTCCTTCTTCACTTTCGCAAGTATAACACTGTTTGATTTTCCTTTTTTTTCTCCAATTGCAGCGTTAAGTATGCTTTTTTGCCATAGTTCTATATGATCTACCTAAGATCACATGATCATTATAAATATATAATTGAGTAATTGAAAGATCACATAAATATAATAATTGAATAAATTAAATATATATATTATTAATATTAAATTTTATTTAGTCGGTTGGTTGTGTTTTAGATTGAACATAAAAAAAATTGGTATCCAACTTATTTAAAATTGGATTATATCAGATTTAATCTAATTTCAGATAGAACCTTAAATTAGATTAGGTTATCGGTTATCTATCCAATAATAATCCTATCTAATTTTATCAAATAATATTTAAAAAAGTACAAAATTAAATGCATTATTATTTTCAATTTAATAAGTTCTAGAGGAAAAAAATATTTTTTATGTTATTACTTTTTTTAAATAGATTAAAAGACAAAGAAATTTCAAAATTATAACGTATAGAGAAATCCTTACACGAAAATAAAATACTAAAACATTAAATATATTTTTTGTTTAACATTTTTATAAAAAATTTATATAAAAATAACTCATGTATTAGTGATAAAAATATATAAGTAATCGAAATTGATGTATTTAATAATATTGTGACTAAAGTCCAATTTTGGTTCTTATTATTTTGCAAAATCTCTCTATAAAAATGTAATTATAAATTTGTTCTGTAATTTTCCATAATTAATCAACTACTTACTTCGAGGAAAATGTTAATAATAAAGTTCGACAATAAACTTTTAACTTAATAATATCATTATGACAAATATGTTAACCCTTTCAGTAAAAATAAAATGATATATAAATGATGGACCAAATTTCTTAATTTTGAAAAATTAATTACCTAAATTATCGATTAAAATTTATGAATATCAAAATTACAAATTCATGAAATTTCAGAGAATCCAAATGAATTAAAGTCTAATACTATAATAAAATTACTCTTCATCTAATCAAAATTGTATCTCCGATAATCCTTTTTCATTTTTAATATTAAATTTTAAAGAATGTAAATTTAAGAATAAAATATGATTTTGAAATAAATTAATAAAATTGAATAAATGTTAATTAATTGGTAGGTTACTCAGTTTCGGTGGAATTTCGATCGATTTCGATTCTAAGGGTGTTTTGGTCCTAATCAAAATTCTACCACGTAAGTTCTTTTTACTTAGGCTAGCAATTTGATTTTCAATCGAAAACGCGTATGAGAATTGAAAACTACAGGATATCGAAAATGTGGTTTTTGGTATTTTATGTCTATTGTCTCTATTCCAAACAAATACATTTCAAGTTTCAACGTCTGACGTTTGGTTTCATTAAAAACATCAAAATAGATTATTTTAAAAATGAGAAAAAAAAAGAAGGAAAAATCATTGGTCGTTATTAAAAGATAAATAAAAACCTTAAATTGTTGTTTTGTTTTGTTTTTATTTGTTTTTAAAAAAAATGTCATGTTTGGGTACGAGTGCGCCTGCGGGCATCGGCAGATTCCTAGTTAGGAATGTTTCTAGGGTTCTACCCTTTGACTTGAGGTACATCCCTCTTCTCATTTTTCTTTGTCTTCTATTCAATTTCGATTACCATTTTTTGTTTTCTATTTCATCTTAATTTCTGAATCATTGTTTTGGCTATTGCATTTATACTTATAGCAAATGAAATTTTCATCTTTGGCGAGATTAGGAACTGGGTTTTTTAAATTGAAACTCATTAATGAAATTGATTCATCCCAGATGGGCCATACTATTCCAATAGAGAAAGACGTTGAATTTGACCTTGAAAGTGGTGGGAATACTAGCGAAGAGGATGTAGGCAATGATCGTTCTGTTAGTGATAAAGAATTAAAGGGTGTTTTTGGTTGGGCATGGAATGGGGTTCCGAGTGTTGATGGAACAGATAAGGGTAAAAGTGGGATTGAGTCATGTAGCAACTCAGCAAAATCTGGAGATGTTGTGGTTATGGGTGAAAATAACTTAGAATTGTTTGTGGATAGGGGTTCTGTCCAACAGCAATTGCCTAATGTAAATGGTAATCATGCTAAAAAAAAGATTAAGCCCCTTAACCCCAAAAAGCCTCCAAAGCCTCCCCTGCCTCCCATAGGTCCTTCACTAGATGCTGGTGATCAGAAGTTTGTGAAGGAACTTGCTGAGCTTGCCTTGAGAAAGCGCGCAAGGGTTAGGAAAATGAAAGCAGTGAGAAAGATGAAAGCAAACAAGTCGTCGTCATCATCAAGTTATACCAGTCTTTCTGCCATGGTCATCACTGTTTTCTTCTTCCTTGTCATAATACTCCATGGTAAATAAGCATTTCTTTTGTTGGTTTTTGTCTTCAAATGCTGATTAGTGCACGTTTGATTTTGATTTCTTTTCAGGAAGTTGTTTTAAGGATGTCTCGACAAGATTTTGTATATATGTTTTCTTGAACACTCTCAATGTTTACTAGTACATCACCGGCCAAAATCTCAAATTATAGTCTTGTCATATATATGTAGAGAGCCCCTTACACCCTTCCTTTTCTCGTACTCTTTTCTTACACTTACCTCTAACATGCATTACAATGTCTCCAAACATTTTATTTCGGTAATTAGTTGATTTACATCTTGCGCATTCGAAAATACATGGCCATTTTTTCTGTCTCTTACAGCTAAGATTTGTTTTAAATGAGAAGTTTACAATGTAATTTCATTATCACCAAGATATAGGCGTATCATTGAGGTCTAAATTACTTTTGTTGTTTACGTGTATTTTTTTCTTTTACCTCTCCTTCGTCATAGCAACATAACAAATGACAAGCTCTATTTTTAAAATCAAATACTTATTCTGAATTGACAAAAATGATGAGTGCTATTTTGCACAATGCATGCGTGTATCCACATCAATCTCATCTCTGATTCAATATATGTATTTAATGGTCTTATTCTTTTCAAGTTTGCCAATGATATTATATAGAGAAAGAGGCAACTTTGAGAATGTATCCTGAATTATCATTTCATATTAAACATGATAAATTTTGTTCTACTGGATATGATTATATTATAAGAGCACTAGATCCAAACATAAACTGTGAGTAATTATGATAGGAAGTTAGATGGAGAGTTGACCTGTCGTCTTGAGTATGGATTGAACATCTTGAGACATTGAAAACTGACTATTTCTTAATAGTTTTTTCAATATGTTTTGAAAATGTCCCATTTCTTTTATTAGCTTTTGATGTGGTTCTTGTCTTTTTGCCTAGTAAGGGCCAAACTCTTTGCATAATATTAAAAATACTAAGCTCACCTTATTCATATTTATTCACATGCACCTATATCTAAAGTTGGCATTCATTACATGGTGTTTAGCCTATAAAATTTATCTTTTTTTCTTGGTTTTCATCATACATTTAAAGAAGTTTATAGTTTATCTTCAAACACTAGGCTATCTGGCTTCTAGTACATATCAAACTCTAATTTTTTGGATGATCTCATTTGGAGCCTGGTCTTTAGGGAATACTCATGTTGATTAGAATATGCATGCAGGAATCAGATCTGCGAATAGTGCTGCTGTTGGGGTAATGGAATCCCCTGAGGCTGCATTTGCGGCAGACGAAGGTTTGCTTTCTGCTCACTTTCCCACGAACCTCAACACGAATGAAGGAGATGCACCTGGCTCTTGCTATTCGTGTGTGTATTATTTTCCACAACTCTCATTGAAGTAAAATTTTATGCGCACTGAGGCAATGATATTGCATAAAAAATGCAGCAATTTGATAGTTCTCCAACTGTCTTATATTGTTGCAGTCCTGCAAGAAAGATGGTATGCAATTTGTGAAGGTTCTTTCCCTTTCAATGTGAGTTTAGTCTATTCTTTGCTAATTTGGATTATGTATGTGTTCTTGTATAGCCAATAGGAATCTTAGCCATTTGTGAAGTTTGCTTGTACAGTGACTTGGTAATGTTAATAAAAAACGAGTCCTACTTATGGATTTTTTGGTGTGTACTAAATGGCTTATATTACGTCTAGTTCAGTTTTTCTCTTCATGTTTAGATTTGATTAGACTTCAGAGAAAATGTCATTTTTTTGTGTAGTTTCATCCACAAGATTTTAGTCAAAATTGAATGCCACGTTAAACAAGTTGTGGTTTCTTGTAAATATAAACATGCAATGAAATCTTTTTTGTCAATTTACTGTATAAATGTTTTCACAACTTTGTAGAGACAGGGCACCATTTACTGTATAAATAGTCGCCTTCACAGGTTATGTCTTTCAGTTACACCCCAATTCTTACTATAAATTTTAATTTGTTTGATATTAATATTATGGTTGAGATTAGGTTTAGGATTAGATTGGTAAAGAAAATTATTCAACAAGTGCGAACGGCGAACAGCATATACTGTGCTACAAAATTATTCGACCAACAATACATTTATAGATGTGCTCGAACAACTGTCATTGATTGTGTATGCTAATAAGCAAATCAATGCCAACAACTTAATATATTGTCTGGTTTTAGCTTACTATAGAGGCCATGTGGTACGAGTTTGTAACAAACAAAATACTTGTTAGTTAGTGCTTTTGTCTCCTCTGGTTGAGATATATTCTTTTAAAGCATGATTCATAAACATTGTGAACAAAACATGTTCTTATTCGATAAATTTCTTTATAAACAATTTTATAAAAAAAAGTAAAAATAAAAATAAATTTTTTTATAAATTATAATTAATTTATACAGCTTCTTAATTTAAGAGAGAGTTCGCTTTTCTTTTATCTTAGGAGTTTAGAATTCATTAAATTCATAAAAATAAAATTCATTTTATTTTATGACAAAAAATTACAAAGAAAAATGATTTTAGTGAAAAATTCCTTTTTTCCTTGTTAATTCATAAACATATATAATAGATCTGGATTATAATCATATTCTTGGTCAAATTGAGGTTAACCTGATGAGTCTTACTTCGTGTACTCTACATATTTAAGGTGCGTTTCCTTTTATTTTGAAAAAGTATTTTAGAGTGTGTTTTTGTGACTTTTTTTCATAAATAATATTATTTTTAAAAATATTTTTCAAAATAGCACATCTGGAACATTATTTACACAACTAGTACTCTGTACTGTTCACGTATTAAAATAATCGATTATTTTATATTATGATCAATTATTTCGCACAATCAACTCTCGCTCAAGCGAAGAAACCCCTCACTTGAGCGAGGAAATCTATAACAAAGGGGTAATCTCGGGTCAATTCTCGCTCAAGCAAAGAAACCCTTCGCTTGAGTGAGGAAATCTGTAACAAAGGGGTGATCTCCGATCAATTCTCGCTCAAGCGACGGGTATTTTCACTTGAGCGAGAAGTGATTAAAATATGTGGTGACTCAAGTTGCGTTATGTGGCTAACTGCATTGGACGTTTAGCCTGTGGTCAATTCTCGCTCAAGCGAGACATTCATCGCTTGAGCGAAGAAATTTATAATCGATTATAATTTGAACTAATCGAACATAATTTTAAAATAATCGAATATACAAAATTATGATCGATTATTTCTCTCTCGCTCAAGCGAAGAAATCCACTACAACAGAAAACACATGTAATAGCGGTTCCACATGTTCTATAATAGCGGTTAAAAACGGTTAACGTGGATATATTTGTCACTTTTAAGAGCGGTTAAAGTGGAACCACTATCATATATATGTCACTTTTAATATCATATATGTGTCACTTTTAAGAGCGGTTAATATTTTAACCGCTCTTAAAAGTGAACATATAATAGTGGTTCCACATTAACCGCTATCTAAAATATACTTTTAATAGCGGTTAGTTCTAAAACCGCTATCTAAAATCTCGGGTCAATTCTCGCTCAAGCGACAGGTACTTTCGCTTGAGCGAGAAGTGATTGAAATATGTGGTGACCCAAGTTGCATTATGTGGCTAATTGCGTTGGACGTTTAGCCTGTGGTCAATTCTCGCTTAAGCGAGAAACCCATCGCTTGAGCGAGGAAACCTGCAACTATTTACAATACTGAGTCACCCACCCAAGTCAGGATTCCCATGTCTTTCTGATGCACACAAGTAAAGAATCCAATGCTATGTTACCCACCTAAGTTAGGATTCCAATCTTGGATTCCCTACATTGGGTTAGACAAAAGCAGAAGAATCCAAACATATTTAAAGAGATGTTGACCCACCCACTTTGCTTGGGTTTTGTGTGCGTCAGAAACCATGTGAGGGAGCATTGGATTCAAACCAATGGACTTCATTATAAATAGACCACTTTCATTCTTTGAAGTTCTCACATTGCACACTCCTAAATCTCTGAAGCTATTTGCATTATTTCTTCTTCTTACCTTTAGTCTTTTTTGTGTTCCACACTCCTAAAATGTAGTGTCTACTATTGTCCACTATGATGGTTTCATGAACCCATGTCCCATGGAGGGAGTTACCTTCAATACTGGGACTGCAAATCTTGTTCCTTTAAAGAGAGGAATTTCTCTACAAAGGTTGAAGAAGTTGATCCACAAGAAATTGGAGAAAGAACCCCACGAAAATGTAGCAACCATCCATTTTCACTGTCCAACTAGACTCGGAGTTGGGATCAACAATTTCATTGCTGTTGAGTTGAAAGATGATGACGACGTGGAGACCATGTTCGATGTTCATGATTCAAACTCAAGTCTATGTGGTATTGAAATTCTTGTTTCATTTAAAACTTCTTCTTCTTCATACCCCAACACACACTCACCAAAAATTTCACCCTTACCCTACCAAGCTTTCCCAAACACTGACCCAGAAATACCCACACATAATGACTACATCCCTTTTATCCAACTTCTAAGTGGGTCTTCCACCAACTTCAACAAAGAACTACCCACACAAGAGAACGAAATTGTTGGTCTCCCAATTGAAGTCGTTGATCCTTTTAGTGAGGATGAAGACGAAGATGAAATTCTCAGCCAACACCAAGATGATTCAGAGGACGAACAACCACATATCCCTACACATGCACCAAACTTCATGGAATCATACAACCCACCACAACATTTTCTTAACTTTGAAAGTCACATTCAACAACAAGACCCAAAGTATGGTCATGCGTTGGACAAAGAGTCTTTTGTTTCTCCGGTAAGAACTCTATTTCTTGGACAATGTTTCATAACAAAAGAACAAGTTCAAGATGCCATCAACCGCTTTCACATTGTCAATCACTGCACATACAAGGTGAAAATTTCAAACCAAAGTAGATATGTTGTTGAATGTGTTGATAACCAATGCAATTGGAGATGTCGAGCAATATTGCGCACAAGAGAGCAATATTGGGAGATTATGAAGCTTGAAGGGCACCATACATGCGTTTCGTCATTAATCAGCCAAGACCACAACAAGTTGGGATATAAAATGATTTCCCAAACAATTGGTCAAATAATTGATGCTGATTCGTCAACACCAATCTCCATAATCATAGCCCATATCCAATTAACAACGGGTTACACTATAACATACAAGAAGGCCTGGTTGGCCAAACAAAAGGCAGTGGAGATCATCTATGGCAATTGGGAGGATTCGTATAAGAAGTTGTCTTGTTTGTTACAAATCATGCAACAATTTGTTCCTGAATTCATCTACAAACTGCAGTCACAACCAGCTTACCAAGGTGAAGTCTTTCAACAAAATTCAAATATTTTTAAACGTGTGTTTTGGTCGTTTAGGTCATGCATAATGGATTTGTTCACTGCAAACCCATTGTTCAAGTGGACGGAACTTTTTTGTATGGAAAATATAGAGGTACCTTGTTGGTTGCATTAGCACAAGATGGTCGCAACAACATCCTCCCCATTGCATTTGCAGTGGTTGAAGGTGAAACAAGTGATGCCTGGTTTTTTTTCTTAAAAAACCTTCAAAGATATGTCACACCCCAGCAAGGATTATGCCTCATATCAGACCGACATGAATCCATTAGAAGTGCATACATGAGAAATGGAAGCAGATGGACAGAAAATAATTCAATGCATGTCTACTGCATTAGACACATTGCAAAGAATTTTATGAGACGTTTCAAAAACACCGCACTAAGGAAAGATGTTCTAAATATGGGTAATTCCTTTGCTTCAAATTTGTTACAATTTATTCATTATTTAATTGTTGCTAATAAATATTTATATTAACTATGTTTTTTTAATATTGTTGTAGCGTATGGGATGACTGAACCGCGATTCTACTATTATTACAACATCTTGAGGAAATGTGACATAAAAGCAGCTAATTGGTTGGATGAGATACCTAGAGAAAAATGGGCACTTGCATGGGACAATGGACGACGTTGGGGCCACATGACGACCAACATAACAGAGTCTATCAACTCTGTTTTGAAAAAAATAAGAAATCTACCTATTTGCTCCATGGTCAACGCAACGTACACCCGCTGCAACAAATTTTTCATTGAAAGAGGGAGGCAAATAGATGTCATGATCAATGCTGGTCATGTATACTCTGAAATTTTGGTCACAAATTTAGATGAAGCACAAACACAGGCAAACACGCATAGGGTCATAACTTTTGACAGGTCTACCACAAAATTTGTAGAAGAAACACAAAACCCGCGTGAAGTTCGACCAGCAGGAAAGTTTGCAGTTCACCTTGATGAGTTATGGTGTGACTGTGGGAAATTTCAAAAATTTCACATGTCTTGTTCACATGTTCTTGCTGCATGCAAGCATACACACCATGACTTCAACAACTATATTAATTCAGTGTATACCTTACAACAAGTTTCAAAGGTATATGGAACACAATTTGGGTTATTGCAAAATGAAGAATATTGGCCAACATACACAGGACCTACTTTGTGTGCAAATCCAGAAATGAAAAGAACTTCAAAGGGCTGACCAAAATCAAGTCGTATAAGAACTGAGATGGACA